ACTTTGCTCGGAATAAAAGCCCTCCTATTGGGTATGACATAGATTACCTTCCAGTAGCCAACATCAAAGACCAGACCTCTCTTTGAACAAAGCCAGATACCTTATTACATAGTATTCAACTGAGCTTCCTTGAAGGAGAATCCCAAGTCCCTCATCTCTGTTTTTGGGCCAGTTGCCTGCCTGAAATTAAGCAAGGCTTATCAGGATAATGGACTCCTGTAGAAGGTGGGGGGAGGGGAGAGTTTATCTCAGGGGCTTAAAACAACAGAGGCTATTTCTCCTTCCCACCCCGTGACCAGCATGGGTTGCCTGAAGCCTCTGCTCCACAGTTCCACACTCAGGGTCCAGGCTGATGGAGCCAGCACCCTTTGTCACTCCGCCACGGCAAGCAAAGCATGTCATAAATCATGCACCGGCTCTTCAGGCAGAAGTAACACATTGCTGCTCACATTTCATTGGCCCATGCGTGTTTGACAGTCATGTCTAATTTAGGGGTAGGGAAGAGAAGAACCGTTTTACTGTGTCCAGAAAAGGAACTGATCTTAGGAGCCCCAGTTACTATCCCAGGAGATTTATCTCTAAAAACAAGTAGACTCACATAAAAGACATATAGCCATCGCTACTGTTTTCCCTCCTGATTGTCCCACCTAATAAAGGCACGAGCATGTGTTCATGGAATCCTGGAAATAATGCTGTCAGCCCGGCTATTCTTCTGGCCTCCACTTTCAGACTAAAGTTTCTAACTCTGGCTGGTGTACCCTATGCCTTTATTCCAAAAGTTTGTTCAGGGCTATTGGGATCTCTTAGGTCCTGATACAAAGTGGAAGAAAGTTGACCCATTTTTCTCTGTACCTGTTTTGTCCCTCCTTCTATGAAGAGTCCCGTTTCTCTAGCCACATAGTAGTCACTGAATCGCTGAGCATATGGTGATGTTTTATGACTCTATGCCTTTAATGATATGGTTCCTTTCCAGAGATGCCTGCCCACCCTACTGAGCAACAGGCCACACACTCATTCATTCTTTAGAACTCAACTCAGATTTGTTTTTCGGTAGTTTTTGTGTATTTCCTCCCCCCATGTGAATCCATACATTTTCTGGAAACCTCTGTTATCACTGTTTTCTTTAATTGATTACCCATTTGTACCTTCTGTTAAAGTTTGAGAGCAGAAATGCTGTCTTTTTCTTCTTTGTATCATCAGCATATTACTAGGCATCAAGTAACTTTAAATATCGTTGGATTGAAGATTAGGAAGATATGAATCTCCCTAATCTGACAGAGAAAAGTAAAGTCATACTTATCAGTTACAACAGGTCCTCTTAAATAAAAAGCAATCTCCTTTCAATTAAATTACATCTAACCATTAAAGACGGACCGTCTGTTTTATGTCATCAATGCTCAACATATTTCATTATAACAGAGAGTTTTTTTTAAAAAAGATATCACCTGTGCTTAAGTATCGACAGTTGGTTTTCTACATAATTTATCTCTGCATTATAATTACAGTCCCAGGGCCTAGATTGGCTGTGGTTGATTACAAGAAAGCTGGATGTTTTCAGGAGATGGATTCACAGCTGAGAGCTGAGGGCTGGGCCCTGCAGGGGGACGGAGCGTACTCTCAGCCCACAACTGTTGTTTGTTTTTTTTAACCTGAGGGAAAGAATTACGCACCCTTTTCTTCAGGTATATTTCTTAAGATCTTGTGTCCCCTTCAAAGCTTTCCGTGATATGCATGGTGCACAGAGATGGAGGAAAGGGGAAATGGAGAGGGAGACAAACATAAAACTGTATTTGGAATAATTTGATTCTAAGCGACTTACTCTAAAGCCCAGCAGCCGTGTTTTGGCCCATGTGGATGCTGAGGCTCTGTGCTGGTGGCTTTTCGGGAGAATGCGCAGCGGAGTGCTGGTTGGGAAGTGTGGCGGCAATTACAGGTGTCAAAGAGGTGGCCTCCCGACTCAGCAGGCTGCCAGGTGAAGCCCGGAGCAAAGCGAGTTGCAGGTAGTTGGCCCATCCCAGTGTGCGCTGGGTGTGCAGCACAATTATTAATAGTGGCCTATTTGATTCTCAGCGTGTCCTGGTCTGAAGTGGTCGCCCTGGTTTGGGGTCATGCAGAACGGAGATTAGTGTGGTGAATGGGAGGGAACGAAACTCCAGAGTGAAGAGGGCTCCAGGGAGAATTATTGTCTGAGGGTAAATTCTGTTCAGGGTTTTCCTTAAAAGGCTTTTTGTAGTGCTTTCCAAAATGCTTTGCAGACTTCCTTCTGACACACTTTTCATCATCGGTTTATTTTTCTTCGGTGCCACTTAGGTGGGACCCGTATGTCTCAGCACGGCCTGGGTTTCTCACAGACCCGTGACCGTAGTGGTGCGTGTGTGCATTTGTGTGTTTGTGTGTGGAGATTCGAGCCTGGACAGATTGGCTTGTGAATGGGGTGATAAGAATAGAGAGAAGCACATACCAGCAGACCAGACTTCCTGTGCACAAGCCTCTGAATGCTGCGCTCACTCTCTGAAATAGCATTCATCTCGAGGCTGCTGTCATCTATTCCCTCTGGAATTAAGCAATAGCACTGGCAGCAAAATAAACTATTTTGGGAAGGAGATGTGGGAGGAATTTTGCTATGTATCCTAGGCTAGGCAGAAGTATCTTTCATGCTTTCGAAGACCACACTTCCTTAGAGCCCTGGTAAATGGAATATGACAACTTTTAGAAAATCCCAAATGTAAAAAATATCCAGGCTAATGTATGCACAGCGTGATCTAGAACGATTAGTAAAGACTGTGTTTAGATACTTCACCTTAATTTACCTAAAGGGTAGAAAGTACTCCTTCCTTCCTTCCTTCCTTCCTCCCTCCCTCCCTCCCTCCCTCCCTCCCTCCCTCCCTCCCTCCCTCCCTCCCTCTCTTTCTTTCTTTCTTTCTTTCTTTCTTTCTTTCTTTCTTTCTTTCTTTCTTTTATTAATCCTCACCCAAAGATATTTTTCCATTGAGTTTTAGATAGAGTGGAAGGGAGGGAAGGGGATAAAGAGAGAGAAACATTTATGTGAGAGAGACACATTGACTGTTGCCTTCTGCATACCCCTGACGGGCTAGAGATAGAACCTGTAACCCAGGTATGTGCCCTTGACCAGGAATTGAACCCACAACCCTTCAGTCCATGGGAAGACACTCCAACTGCTGAGCCAAACAGGCCAGGGTAGAAAGAACATGGTTCTTTGGAGATTAGCCTCTAATGCAGATGCTGTTGAGAAGGGGTAAAATACGACACCTTGTTCTTGTCCCCTTCCTCACACATGCCCTTGCAGGTGGGTTTTGTATATTCCCATGTAGACTTTTCTGGACTGTTGGAGAAGTTTAAAATAAGGCGATGACTGCTGAGTCCACTCCCCCACTCCTACCTCTCCCCATAAAGTTGAGGTGGGTAGGGCTTGGCAGCTGGTGGCCGCTGTGGAGATAAATAAGCCCCAGGGCTCCTGGGTGACAGGGTGCAGAAGCGTCTGGGGAGGCTGTGTGCCTCTCCTGCCTGCCGTGGGAAGAGGCCATGAGGACGGAGCTGCAGCTGGAGGCCAGAAGTTCAGTCCGTGAGAGGGAGGTGGGGGCTTATAGCAACCAGTCTCACAGTCCTTTTGATCAAGCTATTGCCTTTGGGGAGGTTGGGGATTGTTTAGAGGACAGATAAAAGTCAGATACAGCTTAAATGAATTCGGTCTCATCATTTAATGAATGTAGTCAATGGAAACCAGGGAATTATGTTGGTCTGCACCTATTTGACTTTCCTATGTGATACTCCCTTGACTAATAAAAACCAAACTGCCCTCAGAGTTTTGTCTTTATAGATTTGCTGCAATTAGAAATTGAAAACAGCAGCCCAGTGCTGTTCAAAAGTTTTCTATTTTGTGACTGACAACCAGTTTGGAAAATGCTTCTCTGGGTTTTTGAATTCTCTGTTCAGTGTGGTAGATGTAATCACAACAGATGTTTTTTGTTATTTTATTTATTTTCTTTCCACTTAGGCATTAGAATTAAGGTGAAAATGTTGAGTTTCCCCAACCAAACAGTGCTGTCTAGGCTTATGATAAGCATTTTGTAAATTATATTATGTTGTTCACAAATATATAGTAAGTTTAATTAAAGTCAAGAATCATAGTTATATACCTGTTTTGCAGGGGAATGTGAGGCGTGGGTGGTACCATTATAGACATCAATGACCTATATATTGATTTTTTTAAAAAAATAAATGAAGTATCATCTTATTTTCTAGATAAATTAATCAACGATTTAACAATCTCAGAATTTGAAATACATTGATGTCTTTCTAACTGGACATGACTTAAAATGGTCTTCATTTTCATGAACAGTCTCACCTTTTTATCTTTTCAATTACTCATATGAGAAATTGGTGGAAAATACGTCTACATGGTGAAGAAATGTTAAAAAGAGTTTTGAAAATATTGAAGCATTTCAAGAAAAAAAAAAATGAAGACCTAGTTATGCCTGTTAAATTAAAAAATGTTTCTTTTTGTGAGTCTAACAGTAGAGTAATATGTTATAAGAAGTTAGAGAATCGATTTTAAGGACACATTGAATCTAGTAATGAAAGAGCTAAATATTGTTGAAGGTAGATAGGTACAGGGAGGGAAAAGGGTGAAGATTTTTTAAAACTGGAGACTTTTTTAAAAAACCTTTCAAGTGTTTGGAGAATCGATAAATCAAGGAAAGGCTTACTGAGTGCTGCTACAATCTAGGACCAGCACCAGAATAAACAGGTAAAGGGGACGGCTCAGAACATTTTGGGAGGACAATCAGACGTTGTTAATCCAGTATCATCTGGATCTTTAAGTGCATCCATCAGAGATGATGGAAAATCATCACCAGCCAAGTATCTGTGGTTTATGTGTGGGATGAAACCACCGGTGGTCCTAGACTCTTCAGCCTTTCTATTTGGAGTTGTGTCCATCCTCATAGACTCACTGACCTTCCCCTCCCCTTGTGTTTTAGGAGAGACAGCGTCTGGAGACGATCCTCAGCCTTTGTGCCGAGTACACAAAGCCCGACAGTCGATTGTCCCCTGGCACCACCGTGGCAGATGTGCAGAAAATCAATAAGGAGCTGGAGAAGCTGCAGCTCTCTGATGAGGAGTCTGTGTTTGAAGAAGCCCTGGTGAGCCCCGAGATCCGATACAGGTGCCACCAGAAAGGCTCTGGCCACGATGCGGACTTGGCAGTCTTCGGGAGCCTCAGTCAGAGCAGTGCCAGCTTCCTGTCCCCCAGGAGTGCCATGAATGAGGAACTGCTCAGGGACCTCACCAGGACTCCCCCACCACCCCCCTCTGCCTTTTTGAAAGCTTCCAACGAGTCTGCTTACCTAAGTATCCTGCCAAAGGTAAAGGAAGCAGAGCACAGACACTGGGCCCAAGGGCCTAAGACTGTGCACCTGCACTGGCCTAGAGACTAGAGGCTTTATCATGCTTGTTTACTAAATGTTTTCAGTGAAGCTTCAATTTAAGAGGTCATTAGCAAGGAGTAGCAAGTTAATGTTTGTTATAAAGCAGCAAATTGCACTGTAAAAAATAATAGCGGTTCAAAAGAGTAGAAAGAAAGCTTTCTCTTCATTCTGTCCCTTCTGAGTTATGCACCTGAGAGATAAACACAGTATTTTACATGCATTCCTAATATTTCTGTGCATACATGGCCAGGTAGTGTAGGCATAGACACACACCTAGTGTTCTGTATTTTCCCCCTTCCAAATGTCTTGAGCATCTTTGCATATTAGTATATACAGCTTTACCTCATTCATTTCAATGGCTGACTAGTGTTCTGTGTTTGGAAATACTATTTATGTTTTTTTTTCAGTTTTTGGCTAATAAAATCTGTACGCAACAAATATTCTAGGATATATGGATATATATATATATATATATACATATATATATATATATATATATTTGCATAGTTGTGCAGATGTTATCTGTAAGATCATTTACTAAAAGTGGAATTGCTAGATCAATGAGCTTGTATGTTATTCATTTTAATCAGTATTTCCAAAGTATACTCTCAAAAGAGTTATGCATGAAAGTGGGCATCTTTTAATATATTTAGTTGTTAATTTGAATTTTGAACTACTTATTTATGTTCCTCACCCCTTTTTTGAAAATGTCTTATTTTTACTGAGCAATAATTATTTGCGATAATGAAATTAGTATTTTATCATGAGTGGTAACTTTGACTTTTGACTTTCTTTGTGACATTTTTTTGGACATATAAAAGTTTAAGATTTCTATAGCATCATAATTATTACTTAGTCTTCTGGTTGTTTGCTGATTTAAAAATGTCTTCCAAACTTGAGGATTTTTAAAATGGAGTTCAAGGAAAATTATTTGGTGTTTTTTCCAGAGGGTATTTTTTCTATAAAATTTTTAAAAATACTCCTTCCTGTTTTCCAGAAAGGATTTAAGAGAACTTACAATAAAATATATTAAATGATAAATATTTTATTGCAATAAATTAAAATACCAAGATAGTAAAAACAGGGAAAAGCAGATACTGGAAAAGCAAGTGCCGTAATCATAAGAATTTATTAATTTACGAATAAATAGGACTGATTAATTAATCTATTTAAGTAACTCTGATTATGAAGTTCAAGTCTGAGATTCTTGGCAATCCTGGCCAAAGAATCAAAAATAAAAAGATAATATTTGTTGTATTTTTCTTATAAGAGAAGGACACATACTGATTCTTTAAGAGAAAAACATTATCATGGTACTAAATTCTGGGAGTAATCTATCACATGGAGTACTATTCAGGGGAGTTTGTGTGTTTGTTTGTTTGTTTGTTTTTGTTTGTTTGTTTGGCTGCAACAAGATTTTCTTGTTAAAAAAGTTGAATGTTCCTGGCCAGAAGTCCTTACCTCCTTTGAGTTCTCCCATTGTAAACACCAAGGCCATCAAGAGTCTAGACTATTCAATCCCCTCTTTCTTCTACTGACCACAGTCACCTTTCTAATCCTCCATGGGGAGGAACTCTGAATAGGACATCTGTCTCGATTGCCAGAAAGATGCAACTTGTTAGAAGCTAGAATCTGGGACGAAAATCAGGAGCTGTTGGTGTGCAGGCAAAGTCAGTGATCCATCATTTGATCATTTGACCTGTTGTCACCAGAAGTTGTGTTTTTTTAGACATCCTTTGCTACCTTTTCATCTTAAATTCTTTCACATTTCTTCCTTCATGGAGATCTGCTAGATTTTGTGTTGATGGTGAGCAGTGAGCTCTCTCTAAGGACTACCTTTCTGGAGACAGGTTTCCTCCTAAAGAGGGCTGTGACAAGAAAGCTGTGAGTATGTGAGTGAGCAGAACAGGTCAGATGTTTTCCATTGCTCAAATGTGCTTCTGTGGACTGGGAGGCCTCTGGAGCTTGGAGCAGCGTCCCTGCGCAGGAGGAGGAAGACCGTGCCTCCTGGAGAGGCAGGAGACATCAGGGCCCCTCTGGCTTCCCCACAGCAGCTTAGACAGTGCAAGCAAGAGGCCGGTGGGTTCCAGGGAATGCGTTTTCCATTCACTACTTTTTGAAGACAGACATGTGTCACCTCAAGAGAGGAGATAGGAGAATCTTTTTAAAAAGTCCTGGCCATTTGTTTTGGGTGTGTTTTCTCTTTGAGGAATCTGCTCCCTGAATTATTGACTAACTATAGTGTTTGTTATTAATCAATCTGAGGATCAGTAAAGAGAGGAATGTGAAAAACATTCTAAGCTAGTTTAATAAAACAAAGATTTTAATGATGTTTAGGAAATTGAAGATTTGCCGCACTCAAACTTACTTTACCGGACAGTTAAAGATACAGATGACTTTGAAAATATGCTAATTTTAGTTTGATTTTATCAACCTGCCTGCCACCACCTGAGGTGTAAGTTGAGAGTAGCTCACCCTTCTCCATTTTTCCTTGCCATTTCATTGAGATATAATCGACATACCACACCATTAAGGAGTACAGTGTAATGACGTGGCGTGCATGTATTGAGAAATGATTCCCACAATAAATTTTGTTAACATTGATTATCTCACATAGTTACCAAAAGATATTTTTTCTTTGTGATGAGAATTTTCCACTCTTCTTTTTTTGAGTAATCATTCTGTCTACAGTGGGAAGCCCTCACACTTCTCACACTTCCTCCTCTGGTTGCCAGGGGTTTCTAAGGAGAGATCTACAAAACAGGAGGCAGATGCAAAGTATGTTACTGTTCTCCCTTCCTGTTCTGTGCACATCAAGTTACTGTGAGGATGGTGCACTTGGGCATATACATACATGCGTAATGGGCTTATTAAGCTATGTCACCCTCATTGGAATCCTATCCATTACAAAAAAAAAAAAAAAAATCCCAGATAGATTAAAATGAAAGCTTTCTATTTTACCATAAACTAAAGATATTTAGTGGCCACCCCACCCATGGCTCTCTATTGATTTTCTTTATTTGAATATAAGTGAGATTATACTATCCTCACCCCATCCTATCCCAAACCAGAGTTTTAGAATGCCTTTCAAAGATTTTGCTTTTTATAAATAACAGTAAAAAAAAAAAAAAAAGTCATTTTCTAGATGGTATTTATTGTTAGGAATAGCCTCTCAAGTTGTTTATTATTAAATATACCTATTGTGATAAATTTCCTTGAAACATTAAGTTATACATACATATTATACATATAAGTTAAGATATTTACAATTGTCACTTTTGCCTATATTTATGGTTCTGCAGATTGCTCTGTTTTTGTTTTCTCTTAATGCTTTGCTTCCACAAGTGTGAGAGATATTTTTAAATCACATTGGAAGTTGAAATCTGATATGAAACAGGGACCCAACAGGATACAGCCTTCTTGAGGCTTCCTGCTAGGATTACTCAGCAGTGATTTCAGAATGCCAGTCACTGTTACGGGCATTCCTGGGCCCTGAAACAGGCACCTGAGTATTAGGACAACGAGCTTCATTGTCTGTGGTAAAAAGGTCACAGTTGTTTTATCAGTCAATAAAATACAGATTTCAGGTGGCAGTTGAAAAGCTAAATGTCAAAGCTTGGAAGGGCTGTATACCCTTGTTCTAATCGACTTGAGATACTTGTGACTTTCTCAAACATTTCGTCTCCTTAAGGAGCAGCAACATGGGCAAAGAATAAAGAAAATAAAGGTTAAAGAATACAACATGATGTCTATCTTCTTAAAGTTATTTTCATAATTGTTAAATAAATTAAGTGAACTTAGTGAGGTACAATACACTTTAATAATTTCTCTGCTTACTTTGAATATGACCCTTCAATGGTTAGTGAATAATCTTCAATAATCTACTTATCTGGGCTGCTACTTTTAATTTCTAGTTGTGACATTATAGAATCATTGACTTACTGATGCAAAAAATTACTTTTTTTTTTTTAAGAGTGATAAAACTTAAATATACCGGCATTCCTTGACATCCAGAAAGACTGGTCTCTGCCTAATGATATACAAGATAATCAACCTGAAATGCTTCAAAGAAGAGGCTATTTGCAATTCACTATATTCTCTTCTTAAAATAACAGGCGGTCATATTTTGGTATATGATCAACTTTCCTTTTTCCCCTGGGCATTTTTTTACAACTGTTCAGGGGTGCAAGTTTGCCCTCTCTCACTTAATTTCTTTCTTGACTTTCTCATTTCTTGCTAAGGAACTCAGATTTTTCATGAAATAATTTTATGAGTAATGACCAGTGTCCTGTTTCATGTTACTGAAGGCCATTGACCCAGATAGTGTCTTACACATATAGGAAGAAGACAGGCTATAAGCAGTATGCTAACACAAAAAGCAAAACGTGAATTACTTTAATATTAAGTGTCTAGTTTTAAATCGTTTGTGGGGTGGGGGGGGATGACAGAAGTAATTAAGCATGTTTCGTCCTGATTATTAACTTTGTGGAACATTTTGGTGAGATGGGGCCAAGTATAGTGTACCCTTGCGTTTTTCAACCTTGTGTTGGAAAAAAAATAAATAAGCATGAAAGCTCATTTGCAGATAACCTTAGCGATGGGACGCAGTGTATGGTAGCGATTCCAGAAACTACTAGAGATGTATTTACTCACTTGGAAGTGGGAGAGACACGGAGTTTGTAACGAAGGACACAGCATGCCCACAAGATCCCTGAGGAGGATGTCAACGTCTTGTCAAAGTTCTAGGTCTCTGCTATGCCCAGCTGTTCATATAACCTGAGAGAAGTCACTACAATCTCTGTGGACCACAGTTTCCTCATCTGCATGACTTCAGTTATTTCCATTTTAAAAAGATATGAATTTATAAAGTTAAGTTGTGTTCTGTGACTAACTTCTGAGTATCTGTGGGAAAATGCAGAGTTCCGACTAAACCATCACAAGGATGCTGTTAGAATCCCAATGGGCCCGGAGACGGAAACATTAGACCTGTGGCTGGTTTATAAATTGGGAGGGTCTGGAATTGAAGTGTGAATATTTCTTTTCTGTGCTGATTAATTGCAGACCCCAGAGGGTATAAATGAGGAACAAAGGGTTCAGGAGTTGGCTGCAATGGAGGAGACCCGGATAACAATTCTGAACAACCTTGAGGAACTTGAACAAAAAATCAAAGATATAAATGACCAGATGGATGAATCTTCCAGAGAGGTATATGCCACAAGTTCATTTTTTACACTCTTCCTGTTTTTCTTTCTTTCTTTTTTTTAGCTTAAAAATATTGCTGTCCCCTAGGACACAGGCATTAGAAACAGAATACATAGAAGTCAACATGAGCAAATGATTTGTTCATTGTAGGACAAAAATGCCTTTTTTTACATTTCTCTTTTTTCTTTCTTTTTTTTTAAAATAAAAGACAAACATATTTAGCCGTTTTTCATGTACTTTATGTACAACTGACTTTGTCTTAACTAGTACACAAGTTTCTCAAATAATGTTGTTTTGTTCGACTTTATTTTCTTCCAACATTCGTAAGATACTGTAGGAACTTAACTCTTGTTTATATCAACTAGCTTGTGGTAAAATAGGTTTCATTATACATTATTTTATCACAATTCCAAGAATCTCTTAATGATGTCAAGTGAGGACTTATGTATATGCTTTCTGATTTGCTATAAGATCTGTGAGCTGAGGTACCATGAATTTAGGTATTCAAGTTCAAATCCAACAAATATTTTCTGAGCATGCTTACTATGAGTGGGATATCATGTTGGTACTCTAGGGGGATTTACATATGAATCGAACATAGAGGTTTGCCAATCAAGGGAGAGAAAGACACAGATAGACTATAATTCTTTTATAGAATTATAACTATGACTGAAGAGAGGGACAATTTTTATACCACCTCCATGGAGTGAGAAAGAGAAAATAATTCTGCCTAGGCAGGATCTGCGTGTCTATACTTACAGATGCAGACAGCCCCATAAATGGGAGGGGACTGCTCACCTGTCAGCTTGTGCTCAGACCCTGGAAGCCCCTCCTGCTGGCATTGCTAAGGAATGCAGTGTGTGCATGCTGGCTGAGTGTAATTTTTGCTTCCCATGCTTTAGGGACAAAGAAAGAAGGACATGGTTGCTCCCAAGATAGTTCATGCGTGAGTCTGAATCTGAGCAGATAGGCAAAATATCCTTGAGAAACAAGTGGAAAAGAAGTCACCAAAGAAAAATTAAATAACTAGTTTTCTTATATTCTAGATTGTCCGGTTTTCTTCTACAGGACTCCTGAGCCTCTCATGGGCTCTCTGAAATATTCTATAGACTTCACAATCTGGCTGATACAGTAGTTACTTTTTGAAATGTGTAGCTGTTAAAAATGTACCTCTAAGGTGGGCAGCTGAGAATTTCCCTGAAGGTGAAACACCTCTGGGCTTTGTTTTGTGTCCTCAGTTGGATATGGAATGTGCTCTTTTGGATGGAGAACAGAAATCTGAAACAACTGAACTGATGAAAGAGAAGGAGATTTTGGATCATCTAAACCGGAAGATAGCAGAACTGGAAAAGAACATTGTTGGTGAAAAGACCAAGGTAAAAGAAAATTCTATTTAGATGCAATTTTCATGGGCAAAATGGTGGTCCCATTTGGTTGAGTCTAAATATTGTATGAATTACGATGGTGTTGGATTTGTGTGTCCTGTTCCTAGAGACTAGTGAAAAGTCTTAAGATGAGGTAAGTTGCCACCAGCTAAGAACTGTCCGGCACCGAGTAGCTGATGCTGAGACAGAAGAGCCTGTGTAATTTCAAACTGATATTCATGGCAGCTTTTCCTACTTGATGAGTCAGTTGCTTTTTCCCACCAGCCTTTCTGCTCTTCTGATTCTGCTGTGTTTTTTGAAGAATTATTTTAGGATACTGAATTTCTTTACCACTGGTGCCCTGTAGAAATGGCTTAAGCATATTCAAATACGGCTGCCTCATTTCTTTTCACTTTTCTGTTTGTCGAAAAGATGAATGAGAGCCATTCATCTCACCTGTCTTGCCTTGCCATGGTCTTCAATGCAAGTGCACTGCTCTTTGAAAAACCATTGCAGTTTCAGGAGCTCCTCACACACTGCCAGTGACACCTGTCCGTGGAACCCAGCTGACACTTCTCTTGGGAAAGGTTTTGCTTATACATTTGAGACCACGGTCTGAACGGTGGCTGACATCTACTAGGGAAAGTGTGAAAATTATGTGTGGTTTTTAGAACCCCAGGTGGTAGCTGTGTTTTCCGTTTGTCTGTTTATTTGTTTATTTTCTCTGGGAAATAGTTTACTTACACTTCTCTCACATTCTGAGTTAGTTACAGTTGAACTAAGCCTCAACCAAAATTTAAAATTCCAGTTTGGGAAAGAATAAGCACAATGAGCTTTAATACATTCCTTCTTGCTCTCCGTGTTCTCCACTAAGTTGAGGATAAGAAAAAAAATGTTCAGTTTGAGTCAGTTCTACTGGTAATGTGTGGAAAGGATTTCTGCTGAATATGGCTTCCTTTTTATAGGCTTTTCTTTGTTTGAGACCTATAAATAAGGGCATTTGATCTCGGTGCCAGAAAATGAGCTCCAAAAGATATTGTCAGAAATTGAAGTCAGATTAAAAGCTACACATCAATATCTTGGTTTCCTGCTTGTCAAGATTAAACTGCACAGCTTTTTTATATTAAATTTTATGTGTGTTTCGTCTAGCCCCAGACTTTGAAATAATAAAGAAGCCATTTGGGTAATAGGTATATTTTTCTTTCAAAGCTCAAAACCAAGTCAAAGGATTGATTGTCCAGTTGTGCTGTAGGGGAGGATTGTGCGTTTCAAAGAGTCTGCACTGAGGTAGCAAGATGGAGGCATCAGATGTCTTTGTTTGGGGACTTACTAGTATTGTTTATGTCATTTCAGAAAACTTGTGGGACATAGGAATGGGTATCATGTTCCCGGGGAACCTTTCTGCTTTCCCCATCCATGCAGTTAGTTATCTTTGTATAGCCTACGCACAGCGTGGCCTACAAATTCTATTTGTTTCTCTGTGTTAGCATCAGATCTACACAAAAGCGAAGTAAGTTGAATCAATGCTGAATCTCACTTCCCAGGGAAAGTTGTATAATGTTCTCCAGACCTAAGGTAATGTGGAACAACAGGAACATGAGCAGGAACAAGCAAGGGGGTCACCTCCATCCTTCCTGTTATTGCTTTGGTGGTTTGATAGAGGCTATGCATAGAAGAGGGTACTGTGGGGCTGAAGTATAGGATCAGCTCAGGCAGCTGTTAGGGGGTTAGTGGGTCTTGGAAGGTGGGGTTATTGTCTGTCATCACATGGTGTGAAAAACGGCAGAAACTGGCTTTGGGTGAAGAATGCCAGAGGAGGTTTTTCCATCATTTCCCTGCACTAGATGATGTTAATACATATTTTTGACAACCAACCTCCAATGGAGACTCAGTCTTGCTGGTGACATAACTGTGTTCCTCAGTTATACTTATCCCACCATTTTATGGCATGGTGATTTTATACCTTCACTTGGTTCAAACCTTTCCTCCCACGGCCTTACGATGCTCTTACTACCTACTTCCCTGAGAAATTAGAAGCACCCCATCTCTTCACAGCTAAGGAAGGTTCTTTCTTCCCCTCCAAGAACAGAGCTTTTGGATGTGCTCTGGGCCTCATGCCATTTGTCACCTCAGCGTCTTCAATCCTGGATCCCTCGTCCCCCACCTTCACCCACTTTCCTGGACCTTTACTGTCAGCAAGCCAACATCATTAATTTTTAAATTATTACTTAAAAATAAACTTTCTACCAGCAGCTTATTTTGCTTCTCTTCATCATAGCCAAACTTTCCATTTTCTTAGTGCTCTGTGTGTCTTCCTCCCACGTAACCATTCCTCTCATTCTAGTTGGCCGAGCTCCCGCGACTCCATCAGACTTGTGTTAAGACTACTGAAGACCTAGGTGCTGCCCAACCCACTGGTGCTTTTCAGTTTTCTTGTGATTTGACTCCTGAGGACAGAAGACAGATTTTTCGGGGCGCGTCCCTTCTCCCCCACCCCTTTGCCTCCATGTACCACATTCTCTGGTTTTCCCTTTTTTCTCTTGTTTGCCTTTCTGGCTTTTCCATCTCAGTTCCCTGTGCTTGTTCCTCTGTCTCTATCCAACAAGTTATTAACAGTATTTGTCTCTGATCGAAACCATTTTTTCTTGTGTCCTCACATTTTTTATAGCCATGGCTTCCAATAACCTGCCTATGCTGGCGACCGTCTCATGTTGTCTTTAGCCTACCCCCCTTTTCTAAACTTCCAACTCATCCTGTGGCCTCCTGACATCCTCCCTCCGGTAGTTTGCAGGTGTTAATAACTGGACACCTCATAACTGAGCTCTTGCTCTTATCCTTCCCCTTGCCTTCCACCTCCTCCTCCCTTCCAATCCTATTCTTCCTCCAGTTTTCCCAGTCTAGGAAATGGCATTTCCGTCCACCCAGATGTCCATACAGAAGCCTGCAAGTACGTTTCGACACTTCTGTCCCCATTACTTCTACATCTGATTGCATCTCTCAATTACTTCAACTGCTCTGCATCTCAACTAACAGTACGTTCTTCTGAATCTTCAAAATCTCTTCTTTAGTCCCATTTCCACTGGCTTTCCTTCAGCCCATCCTTTTCACAGCAACCTGAGTGATTTAGAAAAAAAAAAAAAATTGTAAGTTAAATCATATCACTTTGGTCTGTGTTCCATTGTTTTTATAAAAATCTAAATTCCTTACTTGGCACATACCTTTCTGTCACCACTCCCCTCTTCTTCACACCACTCTCATGGTGGTCTTCTATTTGTTTAAAGATCTACTCCCCTCCCCCACCCCCACAAAGGGTCCCTTGCAGATCGGTTTGCCCTGCCTGGAATTCCTTCCTCATATTTCATGCCTGTTGCTTCCATCTTTCAGGGCTTAGGTTCAGTGTCAGTTTTTCCAAAAAGCCCTTCAAGACCTCTCTAGTTCAGATTATGTTCTCCCTGATGTTCTTTTAGTCCTTTTATGAGTCCCATACAATCATTTACATTCATTCTGGGTTTTCCAAATATTTATTTTCTTCTCTAGCCTGTGAAATAGAGGAAGGCAGTGTTATCCACTGTTTACTGAGCTCATAGTAGGTTCCAGCATACCCCCAGTTTTCTTTGAGAGTTGTGCATGGGTCTCCGGCTGACAATGAGTCCAGGCTGGGCCTTACCAGAAGCACTGAGCCAACACCTGCCCAAGAGCACAGCGGCCAAGTGTCAGGACAGCTGGGCCAGTCTGCCCAGCTGCACATGCCAGTGGGCTTGTCATCATGCTGCCAGTCGAGCCAGAGCGTAAGACAGAAGGAGGAAGTGGCCTTTGCTCTTTTGGATTCTCGTTTCCTTTTCCATACACCTGTTGCTGCTGTCAGATATAAACTGTGGAATGAGAAAACCAAAACCTGAAAAGATATCCCTGTTGGGCAAGCTTTGATTCAGATGTCGATAGTACATCCTGTAGGCCTGGCTCCAGTTCAGCGGTTCTCAACCTGTGGGTCGCTTCCCCTTTGGGGGTCAAACGACCCTTTCACAGGGGTCGCCTAAGACCATTGGAAAACACATATTTCTGATGGCAATTCATAACAGTAGCAAAATTACAGTTATGAAGTAGCAACAAAAATAACTTTATGGTTGGGGGTCACCACAACATGAGGAACTGTATTAAAGGGTCGCGGCATTAGGAAGGTTGAGAATCACTGCTCTAGTTTTTTTGGAGGCCAGGCCTGGAGACATAGGAAGGAGGTTTACTAACACCTCAGAGTTCGAATCCTGGTGTGAAGTTATTGACATCGTTTCCTTGGCTCTCAAGACCAGTCTTTAGTATTATTTCTTTTAACTGATTTAAGAACTATCATTCTATTTGATATATTTAGTATACAATAATATATATTATAATTGATTATTATATGTTACCATATAAATTGTAAACTCTAGACATAATATATATAAAACATAGGCAATGTATCCAGTTCTATATTTATTGAACAGTTTCACAGCAGCGCCCTAGGCTGACCGTTCACTGCCCTTCTGGGTACCGCTGTCAAGAGCACCAGTAAGCTTGTTTCCATGTCACTCTGAGCTAATGCCACCTGCCTGTTGTGTTCTCAGACAGCAGTCCCTTCAGATAGAGTCTCTATGAACATGGGTAACCCCCGAACAGATATAAGTATCTGACTTAAACATCAACCCAAAGAAGCTGTTTATTTAATGAGGGAGTAAGCAAAGAGGCCATCATGTTTCCTTGGGGCGAGTGAACAGAGAGAGTAGTGTTAACCTCTGCTCCAGTAAACTGCTTCAGTGTCCTGGGCCTGGTGACCGAGAGCGGAGAAGCCACCAGAAGCATGAAGCGCAGGTTGGGCAAAGGCAGGTGTGGAACCGGCTTCTCTTCCTTCCACTTCCTCATCCAAGGCAAAGTCCGACGTGGGGCAGCTGCTGAGAAGGGACAGATGGATGTGTTTGCTTATGTGGATTTTTCTTCTGTGTTTTTTTTTAATGATCCTCACTCAGATAGATTATGAT